ATATTAATTTAAAAAAGAATGAAAATAAAAATCAAATTAGGTATGGTTCCCCATATCTTCGTAGGTGAAAACAGTGCTACGCAAGAACAAATTGACCCAGACACAATACACAACAAAATGCACCCAGAAGCCATGCGGTGGTTTCACATGTTGTCAGAGGGAGACAGCTGCTTTTTTTTTTTTTAATCCTTACCCGAGGATATTTTCCCATTGATTTTTAGAGAGAGTGGAAGAGAGAGGGAAAGACAGAAAGAAATATCCATGTGAGAGAAACACATCGATTGGTTGCCTCCTGCCCGCGCCCTGACCAGGGCCCAGGCCTGGGAGGACCCTGCAACTGAGGTACGTGCCCTTGACCAGAATCAAACCCAGGACACTTTGGTCTGCAGGCGACGCTCTATCCACTGAGCCAAACTGGCCAGGGCAAAGACAGCTGCTTTTAATTAGCCAATTTCTATTTTTGAAGAGCACGCTTGTTTGCCCTGGTGTAAAGGAAGAGAGTTACAGTGGAGATGAATAGTACCAGGGAAAGCTAAATATGCAACCTTTGTTTTATCACGTTGTTTCAAATTTCAGACATTTGTATGTGAACCCTTTCCCTGTGTTAAATGCAAAAAGAGTTCTCATGTGACACCTGCAATCTTCTTGGAAGAACAACCTTTAGCTGTATTTTCATGGGGGGAGAGAGGGGAGGAGAGAAACAACTTCCTCTGAAAATCAACAGACCTTACTACCCATCAGTATGCATATTCCAAGTATCTTTCTAGTCAATCATTCTCTTTGATTTTACTGCAAAATATTCTCAGTAAAAAATAAATAAATAAATAAAGTTCCTGAAAGAATATCAATATTTTGACAAGGAAGGAGAAGAGGGAAAATTACATGCCATGGTTTGTAAAATCCTAAGACAACAAAGCTTACATGATGATGATATATTTTCTTTTCAAAAAAAAAAAAAAAAGAAGTGCGCTCACAATTCAGTAGCATCAGCTTGTTTTTCATCATAACAAAAAAAAATTCAGAACATTCGACAACACGTTCACGATGTCTCTGAAGCCATGCGTTTTTCTGACTTCACTGAAAAAATCCTTCTGCAGAGATACTTTTCTTATAAAACATCAATATTTTGACACGGAAGAAGTCAAGGAAGAATACCCCATGAAATACTTGTTAAATAGACAGAAAATAAATCAATGGAAAAAAACTGTTCTGGGTGGTGGGCTGCATTTTATACTTGGTGATAGTAAGCACTTGTGTTTGAGATTAAAGTAGGACCCTGCCAAGCCGTGCCCTTTCATATACATTTCTACCTCGTCTCCCAGATGATTTCCTTCTATTCTTCAAAGAATAGCTCAGAATATTTATTTGCCAGCCACATAACCATCAGATAAGAAGGCCTGATGTCTACGAGTTAGCTCTGGGCAGCTGAGCAAAGCAAAGATTTTATTGGTGAGGTTGAACATGAGTCTAGTAAATACAGGATGTGGACGTGGGCACAGAGAGATGTTCAAGGATACTTTAGTGACAAGAGGCTTCAACTTTTAGCCCTTACGTGCCAATGGGCATGCCCCTTTATGGAACAAATATAAACTGTGGGTGAAAAGTTCTTCACTCCAAATTTTGTTCATGCACTTGAACCACCTCCCACAATGTACATAGTTCCCAAGTAAGATTATTTTGGAGATATAAGCAAAATATAAACACCCCCATGCTAACTTAATCTCAACCCTCCAGGAAAATCCCCTCATCTCCATATTGACAGAGAAATGTGCATTTGACATGCAACTATGTGATCAGACACTTAAACATTGTCAGCCACAAACATGCAGGCAACATAAAAGTTATTGGAAGAAATGAAAGGCAGCTCTGCTGTGTTGCAGGACTTTGGCTAAGTGCTTTGAAATTATGATGTATGAGGTAGATGTTGCATATTAAATAAAGATATTTAAATGATAAAGCCCCCTTTAGTGAGAGTTGATGAATGTTAAATGTTACAAGCCACAAGACCCAGGCATCCATCACCTTCCCGTGTTATCTGGGGCAATGGCGGGCAGCCTCACTGGTGACAGATAGACTGCTGCATTATTATCCCTATTTCCAGAGTCACTGCACAGACCATTCAACTCCTCAGGCATCATTTTTAACTTTGCATTATATTAGCAACTTTTCCCCCCCTCCTATGGCAAGATTGATCAATGTTGTCTTTGCATCAGTGGAGAGAGAGAATGGGTTTAGGATAACTGAAAGAACAGAGGTTGGTTTCCATCCAGGCAAAAAAAAAAAAAATCAACTTCCTTTTACTGGCAACAAATGTAAAATTGTGATAGGGGGGAAGAACAGCCACGAAACAGTAAGCACACAATAATGGCTTTTCTTTGCGCTTAGATAAAAGCTGAATTTTTGATGTGCACAGTATATTTTAATAAAATTTTATATACTATGTTTTATACACTTATTGGCTATTCCATAATAATGTGTGTGCTAACAGTAAAATTGCTCTTAAATTTATGTGTGTTATTTATAAGTTCCCACATAACAATGCTTTTTGTTGTAAAAAATATTCTGTTTATTAATGTAACTTTACAACCACTGTATCTGAGATCCGTGGTAAATTAATGACATTTTTATTATTTTATAGTATCATTAAATTTTTACTGATCACTCCATCAAACAGAGGCAGTAAAGGCCATAATGTAAACTGGGACACTTAGATCAGGCGGCAGGAAGGCATTCCATGGAGTCTGAAGAAAACTGCTCGCCGTAAATGATATTTATGCCATCTTTAAGCATGTGAGAATACTTGGATAAGTTTGGCAAAACTGTTTCAGTAGTCGAGTGGATTGTGTACTTAAATAACAGTTTGCTCGCTAGTGAGACAAGCCTTTTTCCAACCTTATGTGAGATGACTGATGGCAGCCATCTCCTGAGGAGCAGCGCTCGGAATGGGAATGTGAGGAAGTAGCAGGCCCCTCCCTGCCAGATCGCCAAGACTGACCAGCCTGGGTCTTGCCTCCAGTGATTTCAACACCATCCCCTTTTCCACGAAGCAAAGTGGAAGTGGTGCGTGCTGAGAGGGGTGTTTTGTTTGCTGCCTTACAAACAAGTATATTTCATTTGACAGGTAGATATGGCTAGACAATGATGTGATATATTTTATTCCAATACTCTGCATGAGAGGGACTTTCCTGACCTTTATTCGAAGCTCGTTTTTAAAGAATGTCTGAATATGGGGTCATTCGTAACAGCCACAGAAAATGCACCTAACTGCAAAATTTACCTATCGTCCAGTTAAAATGGGTCAAAAATAATCTCATGTTACTTTCACATGAAAAATACACTATAATTAATATACTCTACAGTAACTCAAATATTCTGTTTATAGAATATATATTATACAAATATTATATAATATCGTATAAAATATATACATATTATATATTTTACTTCTGTATAGTATGTAGAAGACAGTAAGTAGAAAATTTTATGCTCGTGTAATCACAAATTTAAAACCACCTATCTCCTATGTGCGGTTTCGGCATAATCTTTTTTAAGTAAACAAGAATTTGTTGTT